TGACGGCCACCCCGCCAGCGGCGTTAACCGCTGCGCTGGCTGCGGCACCGACCGCCGCGCAGACTGCGGCACCAGCAGGCACGCCGACAGCGTCCTCGACGGGGGCGCCGACAGCGGCCCCTACTGCAGCGCTGATTTCGGTACCGGCCGCGGCGCCGACAGCGGCGCTGGCGCGGTGAACTTGAAGGGCGCGCTCGTGGAGGGCTCCTCGGATGACTGGCACGTTCTGGACAGCGGCCCAAAGGCTGCCGAGGAGATCGAGGCTGCGCTGGCGGGTCATAAGACGGCTGGTACGCCGACGGCTGCATCGACGGCCTCGCTGACAGCTGCGCCGACCACGGCACCGACAGCCGCAATGACAGATGCGCCGACCGCTGTGCCAGCCGAGGCGCCAACGGCGGCACCGACAGCGGCGCTGGCGTCTGCGCTGGCGGCCTCCAGGCAGCCCAGACCTCACGGGCGGCGCACGCCGGAGGCAGCTGCCACCGCGGCCCCGGGGGGCGCCACCGTACTCGCACCGGCCGGGGGCGCACGGCTCGCACCAGCCTCAGGGGCGGGCGTTGGCCCACCCATGTGCGACGAACGGCGCACGCCAGCGGCGGCTGCGGCCGCGGCCCCGAGGGATGCCCGCCCGTCCTCGCCCGCCAGGGGCGCCCGGCGCGCACCAGCCTCCGGGTCAGCAGCGGTCCCGCCCATGTGGGACGGGCGTCTCGCGCCAGAGGCGGTGGCTACCGCGGCCCCGGGGGATGCGGCACTGACGGCCACGGCGACCTCGGCGACAACGGGGACATCGTCTAGCTCCCCGACGGGTTTCCCGACTCCGGCTCCGACTGCGGCGCCGCCAGCTACGCCGACCGCCATGCCGGCTGCAGTATCGACAGCCGCGCCAATTGTGGCACCGACAACGGCGCCAATTGCGGCACCGACGGCGGCAGCGGCTGCGGTACTGACAGCTGAGCCGACGGTGGCCCCGACCGCCTCACCGACTGCGGCTACGGTGGCCGCGCCGACGACGTCGCCGACAGCAGCGCCGACGAGTGTACCGACCGCGGCGCCGACAGCCATTCCGACAGCCGCGCTGGCGGCGGCGCCGACGGCCGCGCCGATAGCGTCGCCGACGGCAGCTCTGGCCGCCGTGCCGACCGCGGCGCTGACCGCTGTGCCGCCGGCCGCGCCGTCTACGGCACCGACCGCTGCTCCGGCTGCGGCTCGGGCCGCCCCGTTTACAGCGGCGGCGGCGGCTGCGCCGGCTTCGTCGCCTACGGCGTCGCCGATTGCTGCACCAACGGCAGCGCCGATGGGTCGTCTGTCTGTTGCCCTGGCCGCGGCACAGACAACCGCCTGGACAGCGTCGACGACGGTTGCACTAGCCGCTGCGCCTGCAGATGCACGGTTCGGTTCGCCGATGGCCGAACTGGTCACGACACCGACGGCTACTCCGACAGCGGCGCCGACGGTCGCGCCGACATCGGCGTCGACAGCGGCCCTGGCCGCCACGGCGACCACGGTGCTGACTGCGGCGGCGACTGGCGCGCCGACGAAGGGCGCGACGACGGGGGCGAGCGGATCGACCTACGTTGGCATGTTCGCCGGCAGCACTGGCATCGAGGGCCGCGCGCTGTCCGCCACACAGGAGCCGCCCGACGACGAGGATTAGAAGGAGGAGGACCGGGGGGAGCGACGGGCTGCTCGGGCCTCGTGGCGTCCACTGGGCTGCAGCCAGCTCGCGCCTCCAGCTCGCGCGTGCGCTTCGCATGCGCGCGCTCGTTCTTTGCGTGTACTGAGTCGCGTCCTGCGCGACGCGCGCGGCTAGCGCTTTTCGCGTGCGCGATTCCGCGCCGGCGGGTCGGCGACGCGCGGCCCTGGGGAGCGTTGAGCCCCCCCGCCTGGGCGAGGCCGTGGGGGCCGGCTCGGGCGTGCGTTGCGCGCCGCCGGCAGGGCGCTGCCCAGCCGGGGCGGCCTGGCGCCCGCTCCAGGAAGGCCTCAGGCTTGCAGGCCAGTGGTCGCGCGCGCTCGGGCGCCTTTCGCCCGCGCGCGGCTGCGTTCTTTTGGTTTTGGCCGTGCGGCAGCAGGGCGTGCCAGAACGCGCGCGCGCCACTGTGCGCGTGCGCGGGCGGCGCGGCGTCCCGCCGGACCCGCGCCATCAGGGTGGTGCGCGTGGCCGCTTTGCCATTGAAAGAGTTCATCATTGTCCTTCTCCCGTCCTCGTCCTCCTTCCTCCTCCTCTTCCTCCTTCTCCGTTTAGTGCACGCGTGCCTTCGCTTAACTTGTATAGTCTGTTATGTTGGTAGACTGCAGGTTCAGCGTAGGGAAGTGGGGGCTTTGCCTTAGCCATTTGGGGTCCGTAGTCGTGGGCTCGAGTTCGAGCCAGGACTCGGGGGCCCACCCACCCCGCTTTGCTCCCTGTGCACCCAGCTCCGCTCGGCTCTCGGGCCGTGCGGCAGCAGGGCGTGCCAGAACGCGCGCGCGCCACTGTGCGCGTGCGCGGGCGGCGCGGCGC